ATTCAAGTGTGATATCATATGATCTACTGTATAATTTTAGCATATCTAATTTGAAGTGTTGTCCTGTTTTTATATTTATTCATAAGTACTGTGATCCTTGTTAAATTTTATATATGTTTTGTCGCAAGTATAGCACTACAGTTCTAATGTTATTATGTTACATGTATATGCGACGTTAAATAAAGCTTCTTGAATCGTGAATCTTGTGTAACAAGTACATGTAGTGCTAATATATGACATTTTTGTCATATATATTTCAAATAACCTGAAGAGATCGACATGGAGCAAAAGTCCGAGTGATTTCAAAAATAGATAATAGAAATAATCAATTCTAAATCATTACAAACATCTCACCGTTGCTATATTCAATTTCATTTATGTTTAGCTCACCTGGCCCGAAGGTCCAAGTGAGCTTATGCCGTTGCGGGGCGTCCGTCGTCCGTCCGTCGTCCGGTGTCAATATTTTACTTTAGACGACTTCGTCTGAATAAACAAAATGCCAAGGGTGATGACATTTGGACAGAAGCATGCTGGGATAAAGGGCTACCAAGTTTATTCAAATGAATGACCTTGACCTTTATTCAAGGTCACATGGATCAAATATGTTTAAAACCTTTAAACAACATCTTCTGAATAACCAAAATATCCAGAAAGCTGATTTCTGGCCTGTAGCATGCTGGGATGAAGGGTTTCGAAGTTTGTTCAAATGAATGCACTCATATTCAAGGACACAGGGGTTAATTGCCAATTATTTTTACCTTTGAACAACTTCTTCTGAATAACCATAAGATCCAGGATGATGATATCTGGCCAGTAGTATGCTAGGATGAAGGGCTACCAAGTTTGTTCAAATAAATGGAGTCAAATACGTTTAAAATCTTTAAACGACTTCTTCTGTTTTACCATGGGAACCAGAATGTTGATATTTGGGCAGTTGCATGCTTGGATAAAGGGCTATCAAGTCATTTGAATTACCTTGACCAACTTTTAAGATCACTTTTGGTCAGATATGTATAAACCTTTAAATGACATAATATCATTCAAGAGAAGGTCTAGGGTGGTGATATTTGGCAAGTTGCATGCTGAGATGAAGGGCTATAAAGTTTGTTCAACGTAATGACCTTGTTCGATTTCAAGGTCGCAGAAGGGAAATCTTTTAAGAGGTTCTTTTGAATGATTTATGGTAATAAATACTGATATTTTGCATGAAGAGACTAATACCAGGTGAGCGATGCAGATACATTGGGTCTCTTGTTTAAAATGAAGCATTGGTCTGCTATTGTATATTTTACAAATAAAAATATGGAAATCCTCGTAAATAAACTGTTTTAAGCTTCACCAAAAAGTAAATATGATATTTCCCACGAAATGAAAATCCTTCCTTAACTTCATGAACCTAAAAAGGACATCATGGCTTGTTTGAACAGGTGTCTTTAAAAATCTCTGAATAAAATGCATTATGATCAAATACGATTTAATTTACTTTTCATTCACTGTGTTGTTTAAATGACTTACCGAATGCATAATTTCATAATGTCCGATTTTTATATAGGCACTTAACCATTGACTATGAATATGTAGCCATCACCACGCCATCATCATCGCCACAATGCCGCTATTGAGACGGAAACGTCCATATAAGTGATCGTGGTTTGTTCATGTTCGGTTATATATGCTATATTGTGAAAAAATACATACAACAAATAAGTTCCGGAATTGCGCTGATCGTTACCGGTAAAATGGTTTGTTTAATAGGACATACCACAGATTAGTTCCGGGATAGTGCTGAAAGTTACATGACTAATGAAATGTGTAACAGTACATACCACGGACTATTTCAGGGATTGTGCTGAAAGTTACCTGTATAATGATATGTGTAACGAGGCATTACAGAGACTAGTTCCAATTGTAAGAAGACACACCAAAAACTCTCACGGGAACTTCGTGTAATAATGTATACCAAAGAGTCCTTTTATAAATGTAGTGAATGCTACTAGAATAACGAAATGTATAGCACAAGAAAACAGCACGTGACAGAGTATTCCATGGAGATTTGTAAGGGAAATGTTTATTTAAAGGCGAGCTGTTCTATCAAAGGTAAAACAGCATGTGGCAGTCAAAGAAATCCGTAAGAACTGCACCATTTTCAACAAGATGGACGTGACATAAATTTTAGGAATTCGGTGAATATTGTTTATAATTTGCAATATATAATAAGGCTTGTCCGTTGCTATCTATACTTGTGTGGAAGAAGTATATGGATTCTGTTATTATGATTTATTATTTCCGGGGTTGAAGAATTATTGTTTATTTCCAGGAGTAAGTAATTGCTGTCTTAATTATGTGATTTATGTATTAGTTTATTAAATATTGTTTTTATAATAAGATATTTCAAACGTGTAATATGGATATTGTCTATATAGTAAGTTGCCAAATGATGAACACACGATCAGTTTGAAACATCCGTGTGTTCATTGGATAATATGACAGAACAACTCCAACCCCGCTAAACTTCTCATACAAACAAACCTTTATAACGATCAATACAGTTGATGTGGAAATTTGATATTTTAATTCATTTAAGTAATGCGGACATCGTTATTTTTCATCTTATATCCACTACTAATGTATAATTGAAGAATGCATCAACTTAATTTATCTTGATAAGTTTTTGTCGGAATGTGTTTTTCACAATGACAATCGTCCATCAAAGGGCAAACAAGTGCGAACGCATAATATGTCACATGGCCAAAACCTTGTACATTAAAGTAAATATTAATGTTACAGATAATGAATACTTAAGTTTTCTTTGTATAAACCTACCGAAAATGTTATAATCCAATAAAAGCAAGAACCATAACACGTGAATCTTTTCTAATCAGGAACTGTTCTTGTCTTTATGACCCATTTAACTAAATAATTGACTCTATGTGATTACTAAGCCTTTGAGTTTTAATATATTATGTTCAACACTAGTGACAACTGCCTAATTGTCATAGATACATACCTGACAAAGGCTTCAGAAGGCACGGGACGGTTTCGACTAACATCGTCCACGTGATGTTACTGAACTGATATACAGATCTTGTTCCCGCAAAAAAACCACTCCATAAAGCCGGTAAGACGAGATAACACAGATGAAGAGACACATAAGCATAGGGAAAGACACTATGAATCTCTAGAGAATAACCAGGTGTTCCCTAATGTTACGGAATCTTTCCTTTTTGTTTTGGAAATTTAACTTTTGGTAAATTATAAATATCGTGAATATGTCATTCAAATCACAATCTCGAAAATATTTTCACAAACGTATGACAAAATTGATGACGCGATCTGGTAACGCTTGAAAAATGATGACTCGACCCTATGGTATAAGCGGTAGCTTAATTTTAATGATATGGGCGTGTATTAGCTGCCGTTATATCGGTAAATCAATGGATACGTATTTATATCATGACTACTAAAGATTATCAAGTACATTTGTATAAAGCTTTGCTCACTAATTCTAGTCCCGTTGAAATGATGACTTAAATGAGTATGATTGTGCTACACCGGCGGCGATACAATAATACCTCTCTGATAAATGGGAGGTTAACCCTGATCGTGACCTTTGACCTGACGGGACGACGCATATCTTGAATGAACCTTGACGCTTAGTCTACGTGTTGTAATAAACATGTGCAATCTACATCACATATCTTTCTCCTCTCGCTACCGATGGGGCCTGCACTAAACAATGGATTATATACTCCAGCTAAATCATCTGAATCCAATATACCATCAAATTAAACCTTAAAAGGTACCATATTGCTTTCCGCAATACTTGAAGCGGGATATATCATTGATGTATTAACTTAGTATATGGCCTTATGGCATTTCGGTTTTTTTTAAATCAATACAAAATTAAGACACGCTTGAGCAGGCTCAATTATATATAGTTAGAAGTTCACCGACAGTTGCCTCTAAATCTTATAGCTATAACATAAAGGATTTTTTCATCATTGGTCACGAACGACGCGCATGAATTGTTCATTAGAAGTATCATACTACGTTATCATGTGGGATTTTGTGACCGAATAATAAAAAAAACTTTCTTTGCTAAATTATCACTTAAAGTTGCATCACGAACCGTACCTTTGTATGCCTGCAGACACCAAGAGTAATCACTCTTGTTTTAGATATTGCTATTTTACATTTAATTAAGTGTTTTCCTAAATAGTAAATGAGTCAAAATGTGTATTGCGTAAGCTTGCCATCCATAGAGATCCATGATGTGACGTCATTAAATAATTGTAGAAATATTTACCAGGGTTCTGTCCATAGTGTTCGTCACTATCAAAACACCTTTTTTGTAAATGTGCATATTTTTTTTCAAAAAGCACATGAAACTTACCATCTTGGATTCAAAACAGCTTAAACCTATTCATCTCCTCTCATAGTGGAAGGTTTTTAAAGTTAAATGAAAAGGGCGATGCAAGCTCTTCTATTTTTGCCGATGTTAATTATATTAGTGTTGTAAGTTAAACATAAATCACTCTCTACAGTCCATTAAATATATTTTATTCTATTTTACACCGCTATGGATGAAGTAAGAAAACAGTGTCATAACAACAGTTAGAGGTATATAAATCTCGATGTCCGTTTTCTCATCTCTTTGTTTAAATATCGTTTGAATTCGTTCACTCATTGAATATAATACTCTTTAAAATGAACTTATCATGATTAATGATGATGGTATGCATCCCTTGATCTCATTCATTCTCAAATAAGAAGTACTTGCCTAAATTTAGTATATCCACTTAACTAAAGACATTATAAAATGTGAATAATTAATGTTTGGGTATTCTCCTTGTGTAAGTTAATTAATACTTACAAATATATAGGCCACTTCGGCGTAGAACAACAAAATACTGCCCAATTATCCATAGCTTACACTCTGCCCTGAGCCTAGTGCTACTGCTGCTGGGGGAGAAACAGTTTAGGGGGTCGTGTTACTAAATTTAGAAAGGGAAATTCGACATCGGTAGTCGTGTGTTGATGGGAAACCATAACATATATTTTCTAGCACCCCTCTCCCAGCAAACGACATGTGTGCAACCATTTTATACCGAAGGCACGTGGTATTTTTTTCTCGGTGAAATTGAATACTGTGGATCTCATTTCTTCTCAGCTAAATTGAAAACGGAAATCGCGCGCAGCTGGACAGGATATGAGTGTAAACAAAACATGAAAAAGATAGTATATGTTTGTTACTAAAAAAAATAACCAAATACAAAATGGCGGGGTTTAAGGAAGCCCCGATACTTGTGAAAGTTTTCTTGCTGTGTCTGACAGCTGGATTCTGGATACACCTGATCGGGTTTGCGACATCATACTGGTCTCACAGTAAATTTGTGACCGTCGGCCTGTGGACGGCTTGTTACCGTGGGTACGATTGTACCAAGACCACATACACAACAAGTAAGTTCTTTTGAAAAAAATATTAAGTTCAAATGCGTATAAATATTAGAATTCCGACGTCGAGCCAACTTAACTACGGTGGACAAACGGATGTCGAGTCAACGTTGGTTGCCGGTGTTGGGCCAACGTTTAGTGTCACGTTGGCCCAACGTTTGACCAACATCTGACTGGATAGCTGGGTTACTGCTAGGTTTTTTTCTTCTTCTCCTTCGGTTAATTCAGGCGGACTGAATTCAAGAAGCCAAAGAAGACACAGAGGTCAGTCTTGTGTACTTGCTTTTTTATTATATGTATATTTATATAACGGTTTAAAAGTCTTGAGATACCCTGCAGCTACATTTGATATATGTAATTGAATCTCAGTTGAAACAGTCGTACAATTACCGTAAGTTATCATTGCCGGAAAATCTGTCCACGGTGTACTGGGTTAAGGAGTAACTAAAGAAATCTATTTTTAGTTCCCCGAATGTGTGTGAGGGACTGTATAATGTTTATTAGGGGGTTAAGATCGGTGCAAACTTATAAACGTAATCACAAGTATCTACATCCCTCTATCGCTGTGCGTTTGCGTAATAATAGCCGGATATTAACATCTTATCAATTAACCAATCCCAAATTAAACTATTTCTTAAGCAATTTATATCAGACGTTAATACATGTCCCATTCTAATTCGCACGTAGCTCCCTCCTTTATAAATATTGCGTCATACCTTATAATGATTTTTACGATGTTTCTGTCAAGTAACGATGCCCCATAGATAGACGGAAGAGATCATGAAGACAGCATTTTTACCATTCTCTCCTACCGGACAATGTAACAATACCATATGGCTACACGGAAGAGATCATGAAGACAGCATCTTTGCCCTTCTCTCCTACCGGACAATGTAACAATACCATATGGCTACACGGAAGAGATCATGAAGACAGCATCTTTACCATTCTCTCCTACCGGACAATATAACAATACCATATGGCTACACGGAAGAGATCATGAAGACCGCATGTTTACCATTCTCTCCTACCGGACAATATAACAATACCATATGGCTACACGGAAGAGATCATGAAGACAGCATCTTTACCATTCTCTCCTACCGGACACTATACCAATACCCTATGGCTACCCGGAAGAGATCATGAAGACAGCATCTTTACCATTCTCTCCTACCGGAAAAATATAACAATACCATATGGCTACACGGAAGAGATCATGAAGACCGCATGTTTACCATTCTCTCCTACCAGACAATATAACAATACCATATGGCTACACGGAAGAGATCATGAAGACCGCATGTTTACCATTCTCTCCTACCGGACAAAATAACAATACCATATGACTACACGGAAGAGATCATGAAGACAGCATCTTTACCATTCTCTCCTACCGGACAAAGTAACAATACCATATGGCTACACGGAAGAGATCATGGAGACCGCATGTTTACCATTCTCTCCTACCGGACAAAATAACAATGCCATATGGCTACACGGAAGAGATCATGAAGACAGCATCTTTGCCATTCTCTCCTACCGGACAAAATAACATTACCATATGGCTACACGGAAGAGATCATGGAGACCGCATGTTTACCATTCTCTCCTACCGGACAAAATAACAATACCATATGGCTACACGGAAGAGATCATGAAGACAGAATCTTTGCCATTCTCTCCTACCGGACAAAATAACAATACCATATGGCTACACGGAAGAGATCATGGAGACAGCTTGTTTAATATTCACCCTAAAGGCCAATGTAACAAAGCCCCATGATTAGATGAAAACACCATGGAGTAAGCATGTTTATCATTCTGTAACAATGCTACGTCACTGGTACAGAGAGGGCGGGACAAGAATCGTTATAGGCTTTAATTAGATGACCAATATGTCATCATAACATGTACAGGTGTAACAAACCTACATCACCATTTGGAAAAGGTCAATGTATTATTGTGTAGACGCTATTCTTTCGTCAAAGACAGTGTAACAAAACTGCATCACTATTTGAAGAAAGGGTATTGTTCCTTTTAGATATCATCCTGTCCTAACTACTTATATAATAGTATATTAGTATACTAGTATATGAGAGATGTCGGAATCGTCACTGATACCGTACGCTCTATAAACACATATTGGTGTACTGCAATGGGATATAGTCAGAAGACTTTCTCGGTGGCAACAAGTACGATCACTAAATGTTGTAAAAATAACTCTATACCACAGATACAGGCAGACTACAGTTTATAGTTTGATTACTTTATGGAGACCGCAGACAGAGAGTAAGACACTTGATGATTGCCCACACGCCGGCATCTACGCCTCAACTAACAAGCAACATATCTGCTAATGATAACACTACAAAAACAAAACACTGACTAGGGGCTGTCCAACATGCTAGCGTCGGAGTACACCTGTTGTAAATGTGCGCTACACTTTTCTATTTCCATTACTTTTAGGTACATGTTGAAGTTTGTGTTGGTTTAAACTTTGTTTTATTCAAATTTTGTTTGACAATACATCCAAATACATGTTTTATAAAACAGAAAAGGAAACAAAAACAAGTGTCGTGACACTCATGTACATTTGTAACCTGCTTAGTAATCAGCTTTTCAACACTAGTTACAAGAATGAAGTAATCTGTACAATAGAATAATAACGGGAATAGGGGAGGGGGTAATGGATTGGTACATAATGTATGCAGTGGAAACCAGGAATGAATAACATATCAATATACATATGATCTTCAGATTGTAATATCATAATGCTCTATTGCAATGAGTATGTGGAACACGATTCTGTAAAATATAACTATGGAATAGTAGATGAAGTTTGTGTTGTAGTGATTGTTAATTTAATAAGCATTTTCATAATTGTATAATTACACTTAAATATTTTGTTGTTCCAAATACAATACTTTAGTCCTGTTTTTAAGTATGATATTAAGGATGTACTCTTCTGAGGTTTCGATCACGTTCAAATCTCGTTTTGATCTAGTATAGCTTGTGTTTATTAAATATAACCAATTATGATCAGTTTGAAAAAAAATAAGCATGTATCTGAAAAATGTATCAAAACACTAGATGCCCATTTCTTGCAGATTTTTTTTACATGTTTTTAAAAACAAAAATGACCGATTTGGCGGCAGTTTTGAAGATCTCATGAATGTGTATTTCTTGCACCGAACTTTATGCTAAAATTCCACCTTTTTTGACGATATATCTATCACTAAAAGTGTCATTTATTCAAGATTTTTAACCGTAACAAGTTGAGATAAAATATAGGTAGAAGAAGTCTCACTTCCATAATTTAAAATAAATACAGTTTTTATCAATTGTGCAAGCATTCATAACTTTTTGATGACACATTATGTTGAATTGGTATGTTTGACCGATCATATGCAAAACGAGCACACGGACATACACTTTTCTAAGTATTTTATTTTCTCATATTTTCCTTTTTCCTAAATTCCATATAAGAAAAAAAGGTTTAATACTGGAAATTTTCGAAATCCCAGAGAAGTAAGTCCTTAAACTGTTCTCTCTTTTTTTGTGCCTTTTCTGTTCCTGGTCGCTTAGCGTATGCCCTTTGACCTTTGAGTTAATCCTTGGGTAATAATATTGTATTCGGCAGTATTCCATATTCCTTTGTTCACTGTATACATAGTTGGTTACCCACGTAACTGCACGAGAGAAGAATGACAGAGAAGAGGGATGAAGGTTAAGAGACCTCATGTGAGAGTTTAAATTTTGTCAAAGGATGAACCCGGGACACCTCAACCCCAGCATCCCCCCCAAACGATGCTCCGGAAATAATATATCATTTGAACCCCCCC